GGCGTGCCCGGCTCCCCCTCCCCTCCCCTTCCCCCTCTTCGGCCCCCTCCTGCCCCTCCTCTTCCTTCCCCCCCTCTCCCTCCCCTGCGCCCCCCCTTCTCCCTCCCCTCCTCCCCTCTCCCCGCCTCTCCCCCTCCCCATTCTCCCTCCCCGGCTCCCTTCTGCCCTCCCTCCCCTCGGGGGCGGTGCCCGGGTGCACCCCCCGGCGGCGGCCGCGGTGGGGAGCGCAGCGGCCCGCGGGGAGCGGCCGGGCGGGCGTCGGGCCCGCGAGGCGGCGCACCTCTCGGCCACACGCAAAGGGTGACCTTACAGTGGGCCCTGGGAGCGACAGGGCCGTGTTGTTACCGGTTCCGTTTCGCCGTTTTGGACAAGTGGCGCCCTCAGACCTGGTCCTTGGAGGACATCGTTTGAATCCGCCTCCTCCTCCTCTTCCTCCGCGTCCTCGTCTTCTGGCCCTTCTCTTTGTTACTGGTTCCGACGCCGTGTTGTTACCGGCTCCGTCGCCGTTCTTCTACGGGTTCCCGCTCCGGTTCCAATCCTGGAACCGTTTTTCTTGCCGTTTCCGGTCGCCGTTTTTTTTGGCCGTTTCCGTTTTCAAGGGACACTTTTTCGGAAACGGTGAAAAAACGGCCCTGCCTTTTCCGGGGCCCGGGGCCCACTAAGAGGGTGACCCTGGGTAAGAGTGACCTTTGGTGCGCGGTTTCTTGGGGGCCGCGGAGGGACCAAGCTGGGACCAAGCACAAGCGCGCAAGACGCTGCTATCGCATCGCGTTCGGCGATTGGGGTACCCGAATGCGCCCGCACCAAAGGTCACTCTGGCGAGGGGTCACTCTTACGAGCGATCGATTTGAAGCGGTCCTTGTCGTGGCCAGGGATTCGAGGGCGCACCTCTTGTGCTTGCAGGAAACCCGGCCCCCCCCCCGGGAGGGGCTCTCGGTGGGCCGCGGGGCTCGCTGGTCGGGCGGGGTGGCGGGGCCAGTGGTCTGCTGCGCCCCCGATGATTACGACCTGCAGGAGGGCAGGGGGGTGTTTCTTGCTTTGGCGCCCCGAGCTCGGCAAGGTGGCCTCCGGCGAGAAGGAGTGCGATTCTGCTTCCTGGCGGTCCGTGGGGAGGAACTTCGACGCTGTGCGGGCCTCGGTCGCGTGGGGCCCCCGGCCCTGCGGATGACGGTTGGCTGGCGCCTCTCGTCGCCGCGGCTGGACACGTCTCAGACATCCCTGCCGTGGTCGCGGGGGACTTGCATTGGCGCCCTGCGTGCGATAGCGCGATGTCTCGGGATTGGACTGTCGGGGATGGAAAGACCCCCCTTTAGTAAAACGTGGTTTAGTGAAAACGACCTGAGGCCCAAACCTGGCGGGCGCAAGCCTGGAAAATAACGGCCACGGCGCCCTCTCGAGAGCCGAAAACGGACAGTTCACTAATCAACGTGCCACTGTTGGGGGCTCTGTCCGCCCCCGGGACTGCGGCGCGGATCATCCCTGCCACACACGGAGGGAAAAGCCGCTCCCGCCAGGTGCCTGGCCAGGGTGGGCGGCGGTCGAGCGGGCCTGCACCCTCCCCGTGAGAGGGGCCCCCCACTAATTCCAGAATCCCACCAGGGCCCTGCTGTCCTCGACCCTACTGTACTCTACCCTACTCTACCCTACTCTACCCTACTCTACTCTACTCTCCTCGATTCTACTTTACCTTACTCTATCTCGACTCTGCCCTGCTCTACTCTACTCAGGTATATTCTACTCTACCCTACTCTACCCTAACATGCTCCGCTCTACTCTCTAATTTGCTCATCATCTACTCTATTCGACTCCACTCTACTCTGCTCTGCTCTGCTCTGCTCTACTCGACTCTACTCTCCTTCTCTCCTCCACTCTGATCTGCTCTGCTCTACTCTACTCCGCTCCACTCCACTCTACTCCTATCCTACTCTGCTCCGGTGTGACCTGCTCTACTCTACTCTGTTTATGCTTTACTGCACTCCAATCCACTCCACTCCACTCCACTCCACTCCACTCTGCTCGACTCTACTAGATTCTACTCTACTCTACTCTAGTCCTACTCTACTCTACTCTGCTCTAGTATGACCTGCTCTACTCTCTAGTTCTTCTGAACTGGACTCCCCTACTGTTCTCCACTCGACTCTACATTCTACTCTACTCTACATATCCTTCCTCTGCTCTACTCTACCCTACTCTACCCTACCGTATCCCACCCTTCGCTACTCGACTCTACCAAGCCCTGCTCCACTCTACTCTTCTTATGCTCTACTCTACGCCTGCTCTGCTCTGCAAGTCGTCGTCTTCTTCGTCTTCGTAGTCGTCGTTGTTGTCGTCGCCGTCGGCTCGTCGGCGTCGTCGTCGTCGTCGTCATCGTCGTCGTCGTCGGCGTCGTTGTCGTCGCGGTCCCCTAGGGAGCGCTCCAGCTCTCTCAGGATCCTACCAGGGCCGTACTGTACTCTACCCTACTCTACTCTACCCTACTACCCTACTCTACTCTCCTCTCCTCTACTCTACTTTCCCCTACTCTACTCTACCCTACGCTACTCTACCCTACCGTACCCTAATATGCTCTAATATACTCTACGATGCTCCTGCTCTACTGTACTCTACCTTGTTCTACTCTACCTTGTTCAACTCTGCTCCACTCTAGCTCGCTCTATTCCTGCCTTGCTATAGTCATCTACGGTTCCCTACTCGACACTACGCTGCTCTCATTTGAATTACATGTCCCTTCTCCACTCTACTCTACATTTCTCTACTCTGACCTACCATATCCAACCCTACTCCACTCGAGTCTACTCTACCCTCCTCTACTCTACTCTACTCTACTCTACTCTACTCGACTCGACTCTTCTCTACTCTGGTATACTCTACACGCCTACGATGCGCTGCTCGTCGTCTTCCTCGTCATCGTCGTCGTCATCGTCGTCGTCTTCGTCGCCTTCGTCGTCTCCCTATTCGTCGTCGTCTTCGTCGTCGGCGACGTCGGCGTCGGCGTCGTCGTCCGCGTTGTTTGCTGGCGGCGGTGACGTTCGATCTGACCCCCTGAATAATTTTCCCGGGGGGGGGGGGGATTCTCGATCCCCCCCGAATAATGTTCTCGGGGAAGGGGGGGACCCCCCCCTGCCAGCAGCGGCACGGAGCGACAGCGCTCTTTTGAGCGACTTGGGTTGTTGAAAGGGCTCGTGGACCGCCTTGGACGAAACTGGCGAAAGCAGGTCGAACTGGCCCGCAGATAACTCGGGGACCGTCGAGTTCACCCTCTCCCCTGGCGCGAAGGGATGAAAGGGAAGAGGTGCTCCCCTCTGGGCCGATGACTACAGCACTGCTCGATTTCCCCCGGACTGGGGTGCACGAGGAAGGATGCCGAGGGTGACCGCGAAGAAGAAGAATAATCTGAACGGAACAAACCTCTCACGCGCGCCGACAATGTCGGCGGATCCGTCCTGGTGCGGGGCCCGCCCGACTCGCCGCTCCCGGCCTCGGGCCCGTGCCGTACGCGCCCCGGCGGAAGCGCGAGCACGCTCCTCGTTGAACGTCCGGTCTGGGTAGGGCCCGCCGCCGGGCGAGACGCCGCCGATGTCGTGCTCGCCTGGCTTGCCGGTGCCGTCCTTCCACCACTCGTCGGCGAGCTCGAAGATCACGCCGCCAATGCAGACGCCGTCCTCTCGGCAAGGGGACAGGTTGGCCCAATTGATGCATGTTTTTTTGCTGCTTGCTGTTCGCCAGCATGGACTTTAGGAATCTATGTGATGCAACCGGTGCGGGTCAATATGTGAGGTGCAAGCTACGTGTCGCAGTCTAAGTGGTAAAATCCACGTGGTGTAGCTCATCTTGTCGAGCTTGAGGTGATTGACTCCAGTGGCAACGTCGACAACGGTAGTTATGATGATGATAGTAGCGATGCTGGTGACGATGCTGACAACGACGACGGGGCAGCCAGTGACGGCGACGGTGCTGACAACGCCGACGACAACGACGGCGTCTTCGCATCGGTGATGAAGGTTTTGGAACGAGTTCGACAAGCGCGCGCGGCTGACTGACGCGAGGACGTGGCCCGCATGGTATGTGCTGACGCGGATCGTGCCACCCAAGCACGCGCGCAAAGGGCGTTCCGAGCGATTTCGACATGCGCGCGCGAAGCCTGTTTGGTAGCATGCTATGAAACTGGAACAAAGCATGGTTGTCTTAAGCATTCGCAGACGCGCGCATTTTTGGTTTGTTAAACACCCGTATTGCGCAACCATTTTTTTGTTTTAAAAAAGAAAACAACAAATGTTGTTTTGGCACTCGATGTTGACAGCCTTACGAAACCAATGGTGTTTGAAGGATGTCGGCATGCGCGCGCGACAACGCGCGCGTGTGCAATTCGTCCCATCGTTTGCAAGGGTTTCTTGCAAATTTATGGTTTTGATAAGCGAATGCGCGCGCAATATTTTTTGGTAGAGGATGGCAGGGGGGGGTCGATGTGGCAGAACCATATGACATGAGTTCATATGTAGGATAAACGATGGGGCAGAACCATATGAAATGGCAATACGAAAAAGCGTGCCGATAATCCTGGGGGGGATTGAGTCTATGATGCTGTGCAAATCTATGTGGTGTAGTCCACTTTGACTGTCTTGAAGCTGTCCTCTCTACTGCTCGCGCAAACATCCCACCCATCCACCCGCAACTTGGTTTGCAAAACCTGTTAAGACCGACTACGACAACACCGACGACAACGACTAGGACGACACCGACGACGTCTCCGACGACGTCTCCGACGACTTCGACGACGACACCGACGCCGACGCCGACGACGACGAAGACGACGACGACGCCAACGAAGGCGACGACGAGGGAGGAGGAAGGACGACGACGGCGACAACGACGACAACGACGACAACGACGAGGGAGGAGGGAGGACGGCGACGACGCGAACGACGACGAAGGAGGAAGGACGGCGACGCCGACGACGACAACGACGAGGGAGGAGGGAAGACGACGACGACAACGACGACGACGACGGCGACGAAATAGGAGGGACGACGACAAGACGCCGACGACACGACGACGACGACGACGTGGGGGGAGGAGGAAGGACGACCACGGCGACAACGACGACGGAAACGACCACGACGCCGACGGAAACGACCACGACGCCAAAGAGGACGACGACGACGAACACGAGAAAAGACAGAGAGGACGACGTAGGCGACGACGACGACGATGACGCGGGAGGAGGGAGGACGGCGACGACGACGACGACGACGACGCAAGAGCGCGCGCGCACGCTTTTGTTGAAAATCCGTGTTGCGAAACCCTGGTTGTTGTAAGGTTTTTGGACGCGCGATTTTGAAATCCTTCCGAAACCGATGGGTTTTGAAGGTTTTCGGATTTTGAAATCCTTCCGAAACCGAAACCGACGCGCGCATCTGCACTTCGTCCCATTTTTTGCAGAGGATTCTCGCGACGGCACACGCGCAAGGGCGTTCGACAGATTTCGGCATGCGCGCGCGACGCCCGTTTGGTAGCATGTTGTGAAAATCTTGAAAAGTCTATGGTTTTCTTAAGATTTCGCAAGAGCTCGCGCGGAAGTTTTTTCAGCAAATCAGTGTTGCGAAAGCCTGTGTTTGTGTATGTTGTTTTGGAAATTCGATTGCGAAATCCTTCCGGCACCGAGGGTTTTTGAAGGATTTCGGCGTGCGCGCGCGATGACGCGCGCGTGTGCACTTCGTGTCTTTTTTTGCAAGGGATTCGCGAAAAAGTGCTATGTTAGAACAAAAAATGTCACCGCATCGTTTTTTTTTTTTTTTTTTTTTTTTTTACAAAGGAACCTCAGGGGGGGAAGCCGGCCTGGCTGGGATGGTACGATTTCATATTTAGGATGGACGAGTGTGCAGAACATATATGAAATTATGTTATCCCAGGGGGAAGCGTTAAGTCTGGGGAGGGGGGGTAGAGTCTATTCTCTTTTTAGAAAAAGAGAATCTATGCGGTGCTATCTTCATGGTGCAACCTATGTTGTGCAATCTGGGGCGGCGACGAGGCGCGACGGCGGCAACACAGCCGCCAGACTGACAGACAGGCTCATACGACGGGCGGCGACGAAGCAGCGACGGAGCGGGGGGTGGCGGCAACATAGCCGCCATACCAACAGACGTGCCCAGTTCCTTAGAGAAGGAATATGGAAGCCTAACTGCAAACACTGCCTGGGGAATGCCACATCGAACTTGGGCCGAGCATCGTGGCCACTGCTGCGCGCGATTGCACATTCACCAAGTCGGCTTGCCTGAGGAGTTCTTACTTAGGTAAGGCTTGGTGCCTCGGGGGGTTACTTTGCCCGTTCCTCGGAGGTTCCCCAGGTTCCTCGGATTCCTGGGGTTCCTCGGGTGGGTGGCACTGGGGAGTGACCTAAATCGCGGTGAAGAAATGGCCACCCCCCTTTTACCACCCGCCCGAGTTCCTCGGTTTCCCCGTCCCTGGTGGCTCCTTTTGTTACCTTGCCCGTTCCTCAGAGGTTCCTCGGGATCCCGAGGTTCCTCGGATTCCCCGGGTTCTTCGGGCTCACTGCCCCTGGTTGCCCCAAGCAATGCCAAGCACTGCCAAGCACTGCCAAGCAATGCCGAGCAAAGCGCCCAGCGATGCGCCGATGCAACAAACTTTGCCCTAATTGGGGTCGCGCCGGGTTCCTCGTTGTTTGGTTCGGGCTATCGCGCCTGAACCGAGCATTCGTCGGAAAGCTCGCAGATCACGCAACCAATGCAGACTCCGCCCTCAGGACGAGAATGGTGTCATGATGCAACTGGATCAGGATGCGTCACAGGATTTCTGGAATACCTAGCGGCCCTCGCTTCCGTGGCCCGCGTGGAACACCAGGAGATCATCGAAATTCAAATCACTATCATGACCTCGTGCCCCTTGGGTCCTCTCGGCAAGGGGGGATCGGCTGGCCGACCGGGTGGCTCCGTGGGCATCGCGGGCCCCCTGCGAGATCGACCGCGCCTGGCCTTGGAGCGCTCGACCTCTCTGGAGGCCTCCTGCGCTTCTCCCTCTGGACCCGGAGGCCCAGGAAACCTGGCAGGCGGCTCCCCCGCGGCGCGCCGCCGAACCCCTGAGCGGACCGCTCCTGAGGGGCCCGCCTCCGCATCCGCCGCCCTCCGCCGAGCTTCCACTCCGCTCCGCTTCTGCCTGCTCTCGGGGATACGTCAGACTCGGGCATGGGAGACTCGGATTGGCCCGGAGGGGCCACCGTGCAAAGGACGAGGCCCGATCTGACATTTCGCGCGAACTCCCGCCGCAAACGTCCCGCGAAAGCCCGGCCGTCAACAAAAAAGGACGCACTCGCAACAACAACGTCGGCAAGCCCGAGATCCGGCTTAACTATAGTCTTACGTCTCCCCGGTGCCTCCGCGGGCCTCCCGAGGGCGAGACGTCCACCTCCCTCGGCTCGCCGAGGGCTCGCCCCTCCCGAGGGCCCCAGGGGAGCCGCCGCCGAAGGGCCGAGGCGCGCCGTGCTCGCGGCCTTGTCCACGGAGCTCGCCTCGACGATCTCGTTCGTCAGCCGGGTCGTGGCGTCCGCCTGTGCCTGCTCGTCCTCCTTGTCCTCTCGGCGGGCAGGATAAGTACTTCGCAACCAGCCTGTGGTGCTGGGCCCCCGATTTGAGCAGGCAGCGCCACGCGTCACTCGCTCCTCCTCCCTCCTCCTCCCCCTCCTCCCTCCTCCCATCGCCATCGTCATCGTCATCACCATCATCTTCACCCTCCCAAACATTATCAACAAGATCAACATCGTCATCACGATCATCATCGACATCAGCATTACATCACCATCAACACCATCAACACCATCATCATCATCATCATCATCATCATCATCATCATCATCATCATCATCATCATCATCAGCATCAGCATCAGCATCATCATCGTTATCATCATCATCACCATCATCATAATCGTGGTGATCATCATCGTCGTCATTATCATCATGGTCGTCATCATCGTCATCATCATCACCATCATGACAGTACTCACCATCACCAACACAATCAGCAGCAACAGGACAAGCATTCTCGTCACCACCATCTCCAACATCGTCGTCATCATCCTCATCCTCATCCTCATCCTCATCAGCAGCATCAGCATCAGCATCAGCATCATCACCATCGGCATCATCATCATCATCATCATCATCATCATCATCATCATCATCAGTATCATCATCATAACTGTCATCACCAAGATCATGTATAACACCATCCTCATCATCATCAACCTCGTTATCATCACCATCACCACCGTCATCATCACCATCAGGATCATCATCATCATCATCATCATCATCATCACCACCATCAGCGTAGTCGTCGTCGTCGTCGTCGTCGTCGTCGTCGTCGTCGTCGTCGTCGTCGTCGTCGTCGTCGTCGGTGTCGTCGTCGTCGTCGCCGTCGTCGTGGTCGTCGTCATCGTCGTTGTCGTCGTCACCATCTCGGCGCACCCCTCACACGTTTCGCAGCACCAGAAGGAGCTCCATCGAAGGCCCCAGTGGCAGGGTCCGCACGCAGTTCCTCCCCCCACCTCGGCGCACCCCTCACAAGCTTCGTGGTCCTGCAGGAAGCTCCACTGAAGGCCCCCATGGCAGGGCCCGTACGCAGTTCCACCCTTCATTTCGGCTTACCCCTCACGTACCCCTCACGCGTTTCGTGGCCCCATGGGGGTTCCATCGAAGGCCCCAGTAGCAGGGTCCGCACGCAGTGGCACCCCCTACCTCGGCGCACCCCTCACAAGTTTGGTGGTCCTGCAGGAAGCTCCACCGAAGGCCCTAGTGGCAGGGCTCGCATGCAGTTTCACCCCCCGATTCGGCGCCCCCCCTCACATGCTACGTGGCCCTGGAGGGAGCTCCATCGAGGGCCCCAATGACAGGGTCCGCATCTGGTTACATCCCCCAAATCGGCGCACCGCTCCCACGTTTCGTGGCCCTATGGGGAGCTCCATCGAAGGCCCAAGCGGCAAAATCCGCATGCAGTTCCAACTGCCATTTCGGCGCACCCCTCACACGCTTCGTGGCCCCGTAGGGAGCTCCGCTCCACCGCAGGCCCCAGTTGCAGGGTCGGCATGCACTTCCAACCTTAACTTCGGCGCACCCGTCACACGCTTCGTGGCCACGTGAGGATCTCCACGGGGGTCCCCAGTGGCAGGGTCCGTATGAGGCTTGCACCCCCATTTCGGGTCACACCTCGCGCGTTTCGTGGCCCCATAGGGAGATCCACCGAAGGCCCCAATGGCTGCGTTCGCATGGCGTGCCCACACTCGAACCCTCACCCCGTTCACACGGTTCGTGGCCCCATAAGGAGCTGCCCCTCGTTCGTACCACCTGCCTTGCGGCACTCGCACCCGCAAATGGTTGAGTCTCTCGCCAAGATACTTGTTGCTGTTTTGCAGGGCGTCCCACCATCTGCGGGGGAAAGAAACGATCCCAAGCCGTTGGGCGCGAGCTAAAACGGGGGGGCGATCACGGGGGGGAGAACGGTGCCCTGTTGTGGGGCCTGAAGGCTCCCTCTTGGGCCCTAAAAGGCCCCTTTAGGGGCCATCAAGGGCCTCCTTTCCGCAGCCCTCATTGCCGCCCCATGCATCGCCCCCCCCCAATACGCGTCCTCCGAAGCCGCCTACAAGCCAGGCAGCCAGCAAAGGACACGCGAAGCGGGGGCGCGAGACAGCAGGCTGGCAGTGGGGCGCGCGAGGCTGGGGCCAAGCCTGCTGCTGCCGCCGCCGCTGCCGCTGGTCGTGTGCACTTGCGCGCCGAACGTGTCTGCCTGTGCCGCGCTGCGCGGGCGCCTGCTGCGGGCACGCTCGGCCTGCACACGGGGAGACAGCAAGGATTAAGACGAGGCCAAAACAAGGATACATTCGGGTGAGGACAGGTCGAGAATCTCTGAGATCCGGCGGTTCTGGATGACGTCTCGGGCGCCGCGGCCTGCTCAGAGCGTTCTGGAACGCTCTGGGAGGAGGAGGAGGAGGAGGAGGAGGAGGAGGAGGAGGAGGAGGAGGAGGAGGAGGAGGAGGAGGAGGACTGAGGAGGAGGAGGAGGAGGACTGAGGAGGAGGAGGAGGAGGGGGAGGGGGAGGACTGAGGAGGAGGACTGAGGAGGAGGAGGAGGAGGAGGATGCTCTGGAACGGATCTGCCCTCGTCCCAGCCCCATCCGCAGGGGGTTCCCTGCGCGGCCCGCTGGCCATGCAGAAAGGCAGGGAGGGGGCCCAGCCGCACCCCGCGAGGCAGGACCTCCCGAGGCCAACATCGAAGGGGCCCTGGGACACACCAATAAAGACGCACACAGATAACAGGATCCCCCATATTTTCCGATATTTTCTGGGGAATCGTCGATTCATTGTGTCCGTGAATGTGTTTTCCCTCCTGGAACCTCTCAGGCGCCCGAAACCCGGATACGCTAGACTGGGACATCCAACACACCTCGAAAACAATGTTTCCCGACGGCGGCACGAACAAAAAACTGCACTGCACTAGAGGGCGGCGCGGACAACAAGCTGCACTGCAAAAATCCCAGAACAAACCTGGACAAAGGCCATGAAAGCCTGCAACACCTCCCCTAGACCCAGCAGTGCAGCAACCGACAAATGCCCTGGACGATCAAGTGCAGCAAAATCACTGGACGACCAGCATGTGACTTTGTAGACACGAGTGGTGTCGTTTTGCCGACTTGCCGATGTCCTGGTCAATATTTGTCCTGGTCTCGGGAGGGCTGAACACTTCCCAGTGTGGCACAAGACCGGCCGATTTCGATCGTTGCTTGGCATCCCCCCTTCCTCTGATCTCACCCTCCTCCTCCTCCTCCTCCTCCACCTCCTGGTTTGTGCAACAAGTTCACGCCTCAAGGTCCAATGAAGATGACCGACAGGTTGAACAAATCCGATGCGTAATAAACCAATCCATTCGCAGAAGGCATCTATACACCACCACCGTGCCAAGGCAGGGCCATCCTGGGCCCCAGGATGGCCCTGGCCTGGCACGGTGGTGGCGTGTAGATGCCTTCGTCGGAATCCAGTTGAGCATTGCCACGTGGGAGGCACCACGAGGATGAACGCGACCAGCTTCAGAGAGAGAGCGCAGTCAAGCCGCAGTTCGACGGCGAAATTGTCACAGCAGCCACTCGGAGCCAGCGGCGAAGTCCGAGCGAGGAAGGAGCCACGTTCGCTACCAATGGCGGGGTACCAGGGAGGCCTGGCCACGTACAAGAAGTGCCACAACACCGCAGATAACACCAAGAAATGCTGATTCACGGGCGATCAACGGTATACGATAAACTTTTTCGCTGTCGGGGGCGCCTGGCCTGTCCCTGGGCGGCTGGAAAGTTTATACCCTTACGGTGGCACCGTAGGGGTATAAACTTTCCAGCCGCCCAGGGACAGGCGCCCCCGACAGCGAAAAAGTTTATTTCATACCGTTCTTCGCTCGCTGAGCTGATGAATTTACTCCAGAATGCCGAGCCTGCAGCAATGACCACTCACAAGCCTTCACTGAACAGGTAAGTCCCATATCCAGCGCAGTCCAGAAACTTCCAAGTCAACAGACTCGTCGGAACCGCAACCGTCGCAGCCGAAACCCGTAGTCGGACGCCCTCCGCGATCGTCGCCGACGGGGACGGGGGAGACGCCAGACTCATCCCCGACCTCTGGCGCCCGGGGGCACGGGTGGCTCCTGCGCCGCCACCAGCCTCGCCCGCCAACGGCACACGCACTCGCCTCCGAGAGCGCGAGGCGGGGGCCTCCCGCGCCGCAGGGGGGGAGGCCTCCCGCCAGGAGGCCCTCCCCGGGCGGAGGTGGGAGACTGCGCGGCTGCAGCTGATGCCGTCTCGAGCCCTGGGGCGCGGCGGGTGGCGCCGACACGCACTTTGTGCGCCGCCGGCTGGGCAGGGGACGTCTGCGCTGGCGATGGGAGGCCTAAGCTGGGCACCCTTGGCGCGAATGGGGCCACCAGGCAGGAGGAGGAGGAGGAGCGGGGAACTGCGCTTATGTCGGGCCTGTCCCCCTACAGGGGAATTTTGAACGAATAACTAAACATTGTCAAACTATACTCTAAAATACGCAACAATTGTTTAAAACATCGTCCCATACCATTTTTGTACTATTTTTGAATTTTCCTCCTGTAGAGGGACAGGCCTGACTTAAAACTGGGTGCCGACACTTTTTTACAAGCGCAAGAGGAGCCCCGTGGCAAGAGTCGGGAGAGGGGGGAAGAAGGGGGAAGGAGAAGAGGAAAGGAGACAGCAGCAGCAGCAAGCAGTCCAAGCGCGGCCGGGCCGGCCCCTCAGCGCGCTCCGGCTGACACAGAATCGGCAGCAGAAGAATCCACTCACAGCAGAACTGGGCGCCGATACACTCGGCAGCAGCAGAATCCAGGCCGTCGCCACCGCCAGTGCACCTGCGCGCGCCGGGGGCGGCCTCGCAGGCCCGCTGCGCACGGGCCCGGGCCGCACGGCGAGCCGCGGTCGGGCCCAGGCGTGCGGCGCCAGCAGCTCGCATGAAGCTGGGCCGCCACACTGAGGGGCGCCCACCGTCGCCATGTTCTCGAGCCCGCCCGCGCGCGCCCGAGGCTGGCTCGAGCCAAAATGGCTACGGACCCTCTTCCTCCTCCTCCTCCTCCTCCTCCTCTTTCCTCCCATCCCGCTCCTCCTCCTCCTCCTCCACCTCCTCGTGCTCCTCCTCACTCACCCTCTCTCTCTCTCGCACACAAACTCCACAACTCCGTGGCTCGCAGATGCCCTGACGCGACCTCGATTCTCAGCAACCCGCGTGGTGCCTCGTCGGAATTGTACGCGTCTGCGCCGTACTCCCCGAGGAACATCGGGAGCCCCGACATCTCGGCCCAGGACTGGAACAGGTCGCCGAAGCTGTCGCCTCGCGGGCGAGCACGCGCGATTGCGCGCGCGGGCTAGGGAAGGAACCCAGCGTAAGAAATAATGCTGCAAATGACAAATAGTCTACCCGAGTTCAGCACCCAAAACAGTGAAGTAAAGCGGAGCGCGAACATCCCGCGAACACCACAGCTTACACGGGAGCATGGACAGGAAGTCGAGGGCACGGTAGGCACACAGCAAGGTCAGGCGCACAGCGGCAATGCGCAGACACAGCCCACGATGTAGCTGCCGTCCAGGATCACTGCTCCCAGATGCCCTCATCCTCCAGGCATTTGCAAGATACCACGCACGTCCGCGGGCACCCAAGAGGGATCCGAACAATGAAAACCAAGCTCACGGTATACATGCACATATATATATATATATATATGAAGAGACTTCACCATCGAAACACTGGTATCGGGAAGGTAGATGGGTGAATTCTGAATGCAGCCGATCAGCGACTGAAAGGCCGAGTCGTGCTCAGCGACTGTGCTCGACAGCTGGTGCAACTCGTTCTTGACTTGGCCGAAACCTCCCATCACCAGGGAACGGACCTTACCCGCAGCTCCAACAAACAGAGAGCCAAATTCTTCTGCTCCTTGATCCGGATCTGATAATTCATCTGTGCCGCGAACTCCTCGACCACGGAATGGTTGACATCAACCATGAGTTTGCAATCATCTCACAGTTTGTCCAACGGCCCCTTCAGCATGCACTTCACGTCTGCGGCAAAGATGCTATCCTGCTGAATACTGCCCACAACATTGTCAACACATGCCTGGGAAGCTTCCGCGCTAGTCTGCCTGAGCTCGAACGCCGACTGGGAGGAGGAGGAGGAGGAGGAGGAGGAGGAGGAGGAGGAGGAGGAGGAGGAGGAGGAGGGAGGAGGAGGAGGAGGAGGAGGAGGAGGGGGGAGGAGGGAGGAGGAGGAGGAGGAGGAGGAGGAGGAGGAGGAGGGAGGAGGAGGAGGAGGAGGAGGAGGAGGAGGAGGGAGGAGGAGGGAGGAGGGAGAAGGAGGAAGGAGGAGGCGGAGGAGGAGGAGGAGGAAGGAGGAAGGAAGGAGGAGGAGGAGGGATGAGGAGGAGGAGGAGGAGGAGAAGGAGGAGGAGGAGGAGGACACCCTTTGAGCCGGCACCTGGCTGCCATCGCACGTGCTGGTGGGAGGGAGGGGGAGCACTGATGGGGCTTGGAGGACGACGCGAAGTGGAGGACGAGAATCTGGTAAATCGGGGATGGACAGACCCCCCTTTAGCAAAACGTGGTTTAGTGAAAACGACCTGAGGCCCAAACCTGGCGGGCGCAAGCCTGGACAATAACGGCCACGGCGCCCTCTCGAGAGCCGAAGACGGACAACTCACTAATCGACGTGTCACTGTTGGGGGTTCTGTCCACCCCGAGAGAGAGAGGGGAAGAGGGAACGGAGGAAAGAGGTAGAGGGAACGGACGGGGCGAGGTGTGAAGGAGGGGGGGGGCTGGAGGAGAGTGGAGGGGGGAGAGGTGGAGGACGCGGAGGCGGTGCGTCGGAACGCGGGAGAAGAGAGGGGACACCAGAGCGCGCGTGGCCCTCCCCCCCGCGCGCGGAGGTGGCAGGAGGAGCAGACGATTGACGACGAGTAGGGGCGAGGCAGGCAGGAGGAGGATGGAGGACGAGGAGGGACGAGGGACGAGGGAGGCAGGAGGAGGAGGAGGAGGAGGAGGAGGAGGAGCAGGCGGAGATTGAAGAGGACGAGATGTGAGGGACGAGGGAGGCAGGAGGTACGAGGGAGGCTGGTGGAGCAGGAGAAGATTGACGAGGAGGGGCGAGGGAGGCAAGCGGAAGAAATCATATAATACGGTGGGGGCATTGTGTAGGGGACCCTTGGATAAGGAATCCATGGTCCGGAAGCCGTTGGAACTCCAATCGTGGATTGGCCAGAATCTGCCGACACTTCGGACTGTGTGAGACGATGTCGTCGTCGTCGTCGTCTTCGTCGTGGTCGTCGTCGTCAGTCCCAAGAAACGTGAGGAACCAACAGGGAAAAGAAACGTTGTGCTTAAGTGGATTCCCTTTCCTTTCCCTTCCCTGACGGGGGGGGGGGTAAGGAGTGGTTGGGTAGGGGGGGGTCCCGGGTCATATGATAATAACGGCATGATTGTAAACTTTCCGAGGCTCGCGCGGATGGGGCGGCGCCGGAGGCGCCGCAAGGGGAATCCGCCGTCGAAACAAGAGATCCGCGCGGACCTCCGATGATTGAGAATGTGCTGTTTTTGCTTGTTGGGCGAACGAGATGGGTACAGTGGGGGCTTGGTCACAAGAAACCTCCGCAAGAAACCCAACCCTGAAATCCGCGTCTTGTTCAGTGAAAATCCGCATGTGTCGATCGAAAATCGTCAAGATCTGATTGGGAGCCCATCGAAATCCAAGAAACCCAAGGCACCCTGGCAAAATCCAACTGGTTTCTTGGCACGCGCCCCCACTGTACGGAAACGTGGGCACCATGCCCAACAGCAAATGTTTTCCAAAACCGGCAGCGGCCGCTGTTTGGGAGGGCGGTCTCCTGCCTCAAGAGGACAGCGCCCCCGGCGGCACAGACAGCGAGCCCAGGTCAGAATGGACGGGAGCTGCTGTCAATCTTCGTCCCTATTCTTTCCGTACCCACCTCGACCGCACCGTTTTTATACATATATGTATATAAATATTCTATATATAGAAAAAGGCATCAACATACTTGTGGCGCTCCGCACGGATTTCTTGGACCTGCGCTGGACCCCCCCTCAAGAAATCCGCGCGGGGCGCCACAAGTTTATGATCATGTCGCTTCTTCTTCTTCTTCTTCTTCTTCTCCTTCTTCTTCTTCTTCTTCTTCCTCTTCGGTTGGCGCCCCCCGACGCCGTCGTATTTGTTGATGCCCCAGACGTCGACGTTGCCCAGGGCTGCCACCGTCTCGCTGCTGGGCATCTCGCCTGTCGCGACCCCCGGGGGGCCGCGGCGCCCGCTCCCGCCGCCCGGGGCCCGCCCCCCTGGCCGCGGAGAGGGCGCGGCCAGCCGCCGCTTGAAGGCCCTCTCTAGCTCCCCCATGACCCTCCTCCTCCTCCTCCTCCTCCTCCTCCTCCTCCTCCTCCTCGTTTGTTCTTCTTTTTTCTGACTATTATTACTACTATTATTATTATTATTATTATCCGCATTCGTATTCGTATTATTATTAGTATTATTATTATATTATTATTCCTCCTCCTCCTCCTCCTCCTCCTCCTCCTCCTCCTCCCCCTCGTCCTCCCCCTCCATCTCCTCCTCCTCCGCGGTGGCAGAGATCACCACGGGAGGTCTCTTCGGTCATCTGCGACCTGCGGGGGCCCAGGTCCCGAAGCTGGGCGGAAGCGCTCGTTGTGAAACAGTGCAGCGCCAGGATCTCACGGGGGGTCCCAAACCTTCCCAGGCCACCCGGCGTCGCTGACTTTTTCGTAGCGTCGACCCCCAGAGGTCTTGACCCATTCCCCGGCCCCGGCTTTTTGCGCCCGAGCTGTTCTTTGACGGTCCCAGGGCCTGGCGAGGCCCCCCATGGGCCGAAAACAAGTGAAAACCTCGCGTCGTGATCTGTTCAAGACCCATGGGGCTGGGTCTGGGCCTCGTGTTGGGTCGGGCATATCCCCCTACAGGCGGATTTTGGGCGACAGAATTCAAAATAGCCAAGCACTACCCCCAAATGGTCAAACAATACACCGGAAACCGTCCCCAGACTTTTTGTTTTACATGGTTTCGTGCCCCTCCCACCCCTCCAGGGAGGCCCAGCCTGAGCGAGGAGGGTATCGGAAAACCATACTATTTACACATGGTTTCGTGCCCCTCCCACCCCTCCAGAGAGGCCCCGCCAAAGCGAGGAGGGCATCAAGAAAATGGGTCCCACGAAACCGTTAATCTCTTTATGTGGGGAACTCCGTTAGCATTTTTTTTACTAGTTTTGAACCTTCCTCCTGTAGAGGGACAAAGCCCGACTTGATCCTCCTGGTGGGGCGCCCGGAAGGCCGCCCGGGCCTCCCGGGGCACCCGGGGGGGCGTGCCGGACCTCGGCGGGGGCGGCCAAGAGGGTCCAAACCGGAGGCGGGCGAGGGGGGAAGCGAGAAGGAGAAGGAGAGGGCCTCGCTGGTCTTGGAATTTCGGGGGAGGAGGAGGAGGAGGAGGAGGAGGAGGAGGAGGAGGAGGAGGAGGAGGAGGAGGAGAAGGAGGAGGAGGAGGAGGAGGAGGAGGAGGAGGACAGACCTCCCTTGAGTAAAACGTGGTTTCGAGAAAACGACCCGAGGCCCAAACCTGGCGGGCGCAAGCCTGGAAAAGAACGGCACGGCGCCCTCTCGAGAACCGAAAACGGGCAATTCACTGATCGACGTGTCAGGGTAGGAGGTCTGTCCACCCCCGAGAATTGGAGCACCCTGGCAAATCTCATGCGTTGTAGGCCCATTATTTCTGGCTTCCAGGTTCTCCGCATCGACCCGCAAAGACCTCGGAAGACCTCGTCCACCTCCACTCTGAACGGCGGCGAGCGGGGGGGGGAGTGGGAAGGAGCAGGCCTTCTCAGAAGGTTCGGAAGTCCCCTGGCCTTCCGAGAGGTTTTCCAAGCCTCCCCTGAAGACTGGGAAGACTTCCCAGAAGGGGCGAGGGTTTCTGATAAGTCCCGCCAGTCCCGCCGACTTCTGAGAAGGCATGATCCTTGTCATTTCCCCCCGCTCGCTCGCCGCCGATCTAAGGGACCAGGCCCAAGACTGGCCCAAGGGAGCCCAAGGCAGCCCCGAAACGGCCCAGACGAGCTCCACGAGAGCTCCTCCAGAAGTGGAGGCGGAAGGCGTCGTTCTCTGACGGCTGTTGGTGCCCGAAGCTTTGCCACACAACGAGCTGCGCTGGCACGGTGGCGGGACTTTCCGCAGGCAGCTGGACAACGTGAGCTGAGCCAGTCAGCCCTCCTATTGATGGGCCTCTTTTCCACCACCGCCACCAAAAGTTGGAGGGGGGTGGGAGGTGGAGGATGAGGAGGAAGAGGGGAGGAGGAGGAGGAGGGGGAGGAGGAGGAGGAGGAGGAGGAGGAGGAGGAGGAGGAGGAGGAGGAGGAGGAGGACCCCCTCCCCCCTCCAACTTATGGTGGTGGTGGTGGAAAACGGGCCCAACATCCTGTGATCAGGAACTTTTGGGTACCGCGTCGCGGCGGCGGCCCTGGCGACGGGTCGTGCCCTGCGGGCGGACGGCGTGCCGCTCCGCCCCGCGAGCCGGGAGGCCCCGAAAGACTGGAGGAATTCCTCGGGGAGACGTGAGACTCGGGCACGGGGGACTCGGGTTGTCGGGGAGACGTAAGACCCGGGTACGGGGGACTCGGAAATCCCCGACGAGGTCGTCAAAAAAATGACGAGGCCGAGCCTGCATTTTGACGAGGCCTCCCGCTGCAGACATCCCACAAAACTCCTCCTCGTCAAAATCCGAGTCGCGGTCGTCAAAAAACGATGGCGAACCCGAGTCCCGGCAAACCCGGGTCTTACGCTCCCCCGAGGTTGGCCCGACGGGGCCACCACAAAAAATGACGAGACCCAGTCTGAAACTTGACGCGAGCTCCCGCTGCAAACATCGCACGAACACTGGACCGCCAAGATCCGGGACGCGCTCGTCGCAGAATGCCGGCGAACCCCGAGCTCCGGCCTACTCGAGTCCTGCGCTTCCCCGAACTGGGGCTCTGGGGCCGGGAAGCGGACAGCGCGTCGCGCCGAGGCGAGGCGGGCCGGCACCGGCGGCGCGACGCGCTATTTCAAGAGTCTCCGGGCGCAGTGCAAGCGCGGCCTGCAGCGGAGGGCGGGCTTCTCGGGGCGCGGGCGGTGCCCGAGCAGGGCATGGGCGGCTGGCGCCGCGGGGGCTGCGCACAGCACAGGGAGGCTCCAACGCTTCAGAAGGACGCTGCTGCCTCGAAGTTCGCAAGAGGGGCAGAGAGAGAGAGAAACAAACAAAGAAAGAGAGAGAGAGAGAGAGAGAGAGAACGAGAGAGAGCGGGCAGGACGCCGGGGAGGAAGAAGAGAGCAGGGCGACGGGGAGGGCGGGAGAGAGCGAAGACACAAGCAGATAATGAACGAGGCAACTCGCGGATCCCGTGCCGACGACGGGCGCGGGAGCACAAGGGCCATCACAAAGCAAAAAAAAACTCCCGGCGTTGCTCCAACCTCCTTGACTAACTCACCCTTCCTCCCCTTCTCCCTCCTGGGTAGCTCGGGATCTCTCCACCCCGGCCAATCCAAAAGGCCACATCAAGCGCCGCGGGCACTCTAGAGCGCTCCAGAAGGCTCCGGAGAAGAAGGCTCTGGCACGCTCTGGGGCGGCTTCTCTCTGTCCTGGGTCTGTCGAGTCCTTCCCCCGCCTCGTACCTTTACCTCCTTGCCGTCGCCCTGCCGGCCCTGCCCCCCCCAATCGCCGTGCACCGTGGCAACGGGGTGGCCCGGGTCTGCGTCCTTGATGCACTGCACGGCGTCTCTGACTTTATCCCGAGACTCCTGCCAGGGCGGCGGCAGGAGCCACGCAGGGGCGGGCCTGAGGCCGAGCAGGGCCACCAACCTCTGCAGTGAAGCTCCCCTCGCACGACCCAATGCGCCCTCGCATGTGGCATCACACGTTCTCGCAAACGTGCGAACGCTGCGGCTGCATCCGTCCACGGTCAACCTATCATCTACTCTTCGCACGGGCTTCAAGATACACGACCGCGTGTGGGCAAGCCGCTCGAGACCAGAATTAAACAACAGCCGCCCCGATGGCAATTCCTACACAAGGTTTGGGCCCGCGTCCAAACTCCAAGCAAGCACTACACCCTCGCCATCCCCGACGCACCACTCGGTACCACAAAGCCCCCGCCCCTGGTGTGACTGCAACGCACATGCGTAGACTACTTTCTGCTCCGTGTCCAGCCCCCCGCCAGCAAAGACAACAATCTCATTATCTTCAGCGCACTGCCCAGTCGTGCGGCGCGCCCACCTCGAATGCAACACAGTAGTTAACTCTTGCCCTCATGTCCAACACCTACGCCCCTACCAAGTACTACACCCTCCCCATCTCCAGCGCATCGTCCGAGATCAGCCGAAAGGAAAGGATCGATGCCCGCCCGGATGCGACGGGTGCGAGGGTGGTTGCCCCAGAAATAGGGAGCAGTGGCGACGTTTGGCACTGAGACCTCTAGCAAAAAGCCGTGGGACGAATAGACTTCTGCAACGACTCCAGGGGGCATCCCCTGCTCAGCCGCCAGGGGCGTGGGGGGCCCGCCGTGGGTGGCAGCGGGCAGCGAAGCGCCACAAGTGTAAGGCGATTCGGAAGAAGCTGCCGCGCTTAGGGAGGTCGGTAGTCCGGTCGAGTGGCCCGGTTCGGCCTATATTGGATGGCCAGAGGAACGCGGGGATCCAGAGGTGGAAGTTTCGGAGGAGCCGCCGACTTCACTTCTGTACGCTTCAAGTGTGTGTGTGTGTGCGCGCGTGTTTGTGTGTTGTGTGTATGTGTGTGTGGGGGGGAGCAAGGAGACAGAGCAGAGAGAGAGTGTAAATGAGAGGTCATCACAGAGGGAGGCAAAGAGAGAGCAACAAGCAAGACAACACATATGAGAATGGCAGGGGCGGCCATGCGAATTGAAGGCGTACGGAAATACGGAGGCCCAGGAGACACCAAGGAGAGATAGAGAGAGAGAGAGAGAAGGAAAGAGCGAGCGAGAGAGAACGACGGGGATAGAGAGGCTGGTGGAGACAACGGAAGACATGGAGGGGAACGAGAAGGAGGCAGACGGGGGGTAGCGGAAGAATACGCGGAGGGGGAAACGAAGCGGTAGGATCAGGATGAGGTCAGCACGCGGACCACACAACGTGTTGAGACCCCATGTGCGTAGAGACGTTTGTGTGGAAGCCTGCTTGCGTGAGGATCCCTGTGAGGGGAATAATCCTCTCTGTGAATCCTATGCGCCCTGGGTGTGGCATCCTCTGTGAATCCTATGCGTGTGGACCCCTCCTCCGTGTGCGCGTGTGTGTGTGTGTGTGTGTGTGTGTGTGTGGCACCGCCTGATCCCGAGGCTTGCCTCCTCCTGGCCTTGCCGTGAGGCCGCTCTCCTTCTGTCCCCCCCTCTTTGTTAATTCAAGCTTCGCGCGGCCCGCTTAGCTTCGACCGGAAGAGGTGCGCTCTCGACCCGCGGAACAAAAAGCGTGTGCGTGCGTGTGTGCAGAGCCGGGCCCTGGCATGCCTGGCCAGGTACTGCCGGCCCAACGAGGAGCCCCTGAGCTGCAAGCACTGCTGGAGGGAACAGGGCGTCGGCGGCGGACGGGGGGCCGGGAACAGCAGCTGGCCGGAAAGGGGGTTGGACGAGAATGCGTCGAGGATCCTCAGAACGTGTGCAAGCGCCAACGTGTGCTTGTCCACCGAGGCCCTTCAACACAGCGCAGGCGGCGATCGAGGGCCGACACAGGCTGCGCGCTATGGGCGGAACCGGAGGGGGTACACAAGCGCTGGAGCTAGCGCACACGTCGCAAGGATCATCGAATGGAGGAGCATAAAAAACGAGACGCGCGGGGATGAGGGTCGGAGGATGCACAGCCGACCCGTATCACAAGGACGCGCGATGAAGATGCAAGGGCCTTGGACGCACATCTCGAAACTTTTCGAGCGGGGCGCGGCCAACGAATGTGGCCAAGGATGGAGCGAGGAGGCAAGGATGCAAAGGTACACGTCGTTCATTTCTAATCGTGCTCATTTCTACTTGTGTTCGTTTCTAATGGTTCCTGGCCCCCTAGTGGCCAGGAAGAGGCCCAAGATAGAACAATTAGAAATGAAAGGATCTTGGCCCCCCAAAACAATCAAAGAACCTTCGAATAATTAGACATGAACAGCGTGTACCTTTGAGGAGGTTGCCCATCCTCGCCATGCGGGTCGACCGCGGAGCGGGGCGGGCGCGGTGGACGGTGAGCGGGGCAGGAGGGCGCAGCGCGTCGCGGAGCGAAGGGTGCACAGAGGGGTGGCCTCGAACGGCAGGCCCGTGTAGAGGCCGTTGTAGTTCCACTCGTTCCCGACGACCCACATCAGGATGGCCGGGTGGTCCTCCCCTGCGCCCCTGCGCGCGGCCCGCGGCCTCCGCGCCATGCTCTCCGGGGCGAGGCGGCGGGGGGAGGAGAGAGAGAGACGAGGGCCGTCCGAGCGGCCCTCGGGAGCGGAGACAGACGACAGCTGGACACAGGTCGACGCAGACCGACGTGAACCCTTTTTTGATCCGCGGGTCGAGAGCGAGCCTCTTCCGGTCGAAGCTAAGCGGGCCGCGTACAGCTTTAATTAACCGAGGAAGGAAAACAGAAGGAGGGGCCTCACGTCAAGGCCAGGAGAGGGCAAAGCCCCGGGATCAGGCGGAGACCAACGTGAGCACAGAGAGGCCGAGGCAAGCCCAGAGACCTCCAGAGAGAGATTTGGGCAGCTCGTGCAAAAGGGTCCAGCGCGAAGCACGGGGCCGCAGACGTCGTTGAAAGCCTCTAGCGAGGGGGGGAGGGGAGAAGTCGTGGGGGGAAACAGGCTGAGAAAAGACGGGCCAGGAGCGCTCGAAGAAAAAGGGGAAAGGGAAAGAGAGAGAGAGAAAGAGAGAGAGAGAAAACAAAAAAGAGAGAGCGGGGCATGGCTGAGCCGGGGCTGGCACCGACCTCCAATAACTCAACAACTTCAACGGACCCAGATTGGCACCAAAACCCGAAATTCAAGGCCCCCTCCGGAAAATAATACGGAGCAACGGCATATATTTCTTCGCGGACCTCCGAGCATGTAGGTTCATGTCGTAATCCTTCTTTTTCTTCTTCCACAAACCGGGTTCAAGGCCCAAGGACCAAAGGCAATGATATAGGGCGCCGACCGTGACGTCACACACCTGCAGGTGGAGGTGCCTCCGCGCAGACTCAACAACAGCACTAGTCATACTCGTCGCATGATGAGCGCACGCGTCAACTTGGCTGCATTGAGCTGGACATCGAAGCTACCGCGGGCGTAGCAATAGGTGCGTTGGTCCAACCAAGTTGCAATACGTGTTGCAGAACTGCCTCATGTTTTGTTGTAGTTGCTGCGGAAGACGTCATTCTAAGCGACGCAATTAAGCAGGGCGCTCACTTCATCACAAACAGGTCCACACGAGCTAGCAGTATGGGGGACATGAAGCCCGCCATCGACATGCCAAAGGTTCAGGCACGGTCTATGGGGAACCCCAAAAAGCAACTTGGGCGTGTCTGCTTCACTGCTTCGCATGCGAGGAAGCAGCCGCAATTGCCAAACATAGACTTCAGTTAGGGCGTCAGCCGTTGATTTCAACTCAATGTCGTCTTCTGCTCAGCCTGAAAACAAATCCACAAACAAGTGCAAACGCCAATGTGATCTGAGTCGGGAAAATGTGGATGACTGGCCCGTGCTCTTAGAATTTCGCGCCATCAGACTGTCGTCGTATGTCGATGTGGTTCTCAAGGAGCGCACCGACAACGCCGTGTATGCCCTACTCTCCATGTCGTCGAGATTGGCCAACAAAATCCTCCTCCTCCATTTTCCCACGCCGTCCATCCTCTTCCGCATACTTCCTTCACCGTCCTCTCGCATCTCCTCCTCCCCTGCTCCTGATCCTTATTTGTGGCCTGTGCGCGCGCAAGCCTTGCTCCTCCTGTCCTGACAATCTATGGCACCCGCCCTTTCGTTCACGCGCAATCCTTCACCATCTCAACCGTGCTAAGGGCACTCTCCACTGGATATTCACCTGCAGGCCCAGGGCACACATTCGCCATCACCGTGGCAACAACGCGTGTAAGACTCAGGACAAGTGATCGCAATAATCTAGTTAGGTGGACAATTGCATACATCTGGGCTCATGACAGGTGGCGAAGCAAAAATGAAACAGGGGGAAAACGGGAGGAGGAACGGGAGGGGGGAGGAGGCTGGGTAGGAGGAGCAGGAGCAACAGGAAGAAGAGGAGGATGCCGAGCAAAAAGGAGGGCGAAGCCGCGTGGGAACTCAGACCCACGACGCGTCATGATACTTTCATGACGTGGACCCCCAAATGTCTCGTGCGATTCCCCAGAACCGGTTTTTCGTCCTGACCCGTGTCTTGACGCTCCCGGGCCCAGTAAAGACCCCCAGAGGCCGAAAATGGAGGAACACTTCCCGTCATGTTTTGTCATGGCCCGAGGGGTCTGGGAGAAAGGAAACGCATGTTCGGCATTCGATTAGGTCGGGCATGTCCTGATTTTGGAAGACAAATGAAGCATGGTCAAGAAATATTCAAGAATGGTCAAGAATATTGGAGAAGTCGTCCCCGGACCATGTTTGGATTGTGTCTGAGTTTCCTTCCTCTCGTAGAAGGACATGCCCGACGTGAGCGTTCCCGAGGGGGCCCCGAAAGCCCGCCCAAAGAGCTCTCCGCCGAGAGGGCACGCGGCCTCTCCGAGGCCCCCCCAAAACCCGCGGCGGGCCCCCGCGCCGATGGAACCACAAAAGAGCCCTGCGCGGCCTGCAGGGCGCGCCTGGGGCCGCTACAGGGGAAGAACACAAGGCATAAGCACCAGTTTTTGTTTTGGCGGCGAGCGAGGGGGGGGGGGGAAGGGAGAAGGAGACCTTCCCGGAAGGCGGCGGGACTTCCCAGAAGCCTCCGCGCCTTCTGAAAGCTTGCTGCTTCCGTCCTCGGGGTAGGCTTAGAACACCTCTCGGAAGGCCAAGGGACTTCCGAGGCTTCCGAGAAGGCCCGCCCCTTCTCACCTCCACCCCTCGCTCGCCGCCGATTTTTTACGCCCGGCACAGAACACCCGCGCGGGTCGCGCACGAAGCGCGCGGCGCACCTCCGAGGAGGGTGCCCTGGATTCACATGCAGTCGGCCCGTGCAACCACGGGACGGAGCCCGAGAACAGCAGCGGTTCCCCACGTAGCCCGGAGCCGCTCACAGTGCACAAGCATCGGCATATGAGTTCGTGAAGGGGCCCTGGGACACGCAAAAAAATACACACAAATGAAAGGATTCCCCCTCTTTTCTCACATTTTCTGGGTTTCTGTCTTCCCCCCCCCACTTCCCATACTTTCCCATCTTTTCCTGGGAGTCGACGATTCACTGTGTCTGTGTGTCTCCTCCCCTCCTGAAAGGTCAGAGCTCCGCGCGGGTGTGTCTGGGATCGGCACTGGGCCCCCCCCTCCTCCCTGGCCCATGGCGCGCGGAGCGCGCCAGGGGCAGCGCCAGAGGCGCTGCCAGTGGAGCCCAGTGCCGATCGAAGAGATCTGCGCGGAACCCCCCAAAATTGGGCATCGCTCGGACGTCCATTCCCTGTGTTTTTTTCGGTTTCGTGTGTGTTTCTTTCGCCAAATGATCAAGGATGCTCCTCGATGGTCCTCGCCGAAAGAAAAATGCACACGTCCGAGCGATGCCAAGGAAAAGGAACACATGTTTCTGCCGTTTACTGCTTCGAGCCGTGGCATTATTCTAGAACTCCCGGGGCGCCCGAGACGTACACCGTGTTCAGGACGTAGATCTTGTGCCGCCACAGCTCGTCGAGCACGCGGGTGTCGTTGATGGCCTCGCGCGCGCTGGGCACAGGAGCTGCGCGGACGCGCCCACGACGCGCGCGATCGGCTTCAGCAGTGGGAAGGGGCACCGAGAAGGAAGTAGGAGACCTAGACGCGCTCGGGTCGCAAACAAACAATGACGATGGGAGGTTTGTTAACAGCTTTCGGCCTCTGGGGGCCCTCGCTGAGCCTCCGGACAGGCGAAAAACGACTCGGGACGAAAGCCCGGCCCTGGGAAAAGGGCGGGCAGATGTATGTGTTCTATATATAGATATGTATATGTATGTACATATGTGTCTATATATAAATATAACGTCATGTCTGGGTTCACCTCTTGTGCCCCTTCTGGACCCGCGGAGGAAGTCTAGGGGCCATTCTCGGTGGCGAGCTGAGGGAGAAGTGAGAAGTGGCGCGCCTTCTCAAAAGGTTCGGAAGTCCCCCGGCCGTCTGAGAAGGCTCTCCCGAAGATTCAGACAACTTCTCAGAAGGCGCGCGGTGCTTCTGAGGAGTCCCGCCGCCTTCTGTAAGGCCTTCTCCCTCTCCCTTCCCTTCCCCCCCTCGCTCGCCGCCGACATGCACGGCCCCCTGAGGGCCCCCTTCCTGCAATCCTCGATCCCCCACGCTTATTTCAAGGGGCCCCAGGACACACAAATAATTACACACAAATGAAACGATTACCCATATTTTCACATATTTTCTGGGCTTCTGACTCCCCCCCCACTTCCCGTATTTTCCAATATTTTCCTGGGACTCGACGATTACTTGTGTCTGTGTGTCTTTTTCCCTCCTGATTATTGCCCCCCCCCTCCCCCCGCCCCCCCCGTGGCCGTCCGCCCCAGATGAGGGGCCAGCACGCGGCGGGGATTCTCGGCCGCTGCGGGTGCAGCCGCTGCGCACCGGCGCGGGCGCGCGGGCGACGCCCCGGAGCTCGGGGAGAGGGGCTGAAACAGTCTCGCATCGTTGACAAACTTCTCGAAGCTGCTGGCAGGTTGGTTGGTTGGTTGGCCGGCTGGCCCGCCGTGCGAGACGTCCTCGGAAACTGCTGGCAGGCTGCTTGGTTGGTTGACTGGTTGGCGGCGTGGTTGGTTGGTTGGCTGGCTGCTTGCCCGATTGGTTGGTTAACTGGCTGGCTGGGTGGCGGGCTGGTTGGTTGGCCGGTTGATTGGATGGTTGGTCGGTTGGTTGACTGGCTGGCGCATTGATTGGTTAGTTGGTTGGTTGGTTGGTTGACAGACTGGTTGGTCATTTGCTGGTTGGTGGGCTGGTCGGCGGACGGTTAGTTGGTCGGTTGGTTGGACCCCTGTGCAGATTGTCCCGAGGTAGCGCCGGCGAGCGAAATAAATACAGCTCTACGCTGCACGTCACGTGGCAACGCAAGAGCGGAACACAGACTGTTTCATCATATACGTTACGCCTGCCGTCGCTCGGACGTCCATTTCCTGTGCATTTGTCGGTTTCGTGCGTGTTTTTTTTGCTCGATGCTCCAGGATGGTCCTCGATGGCTCTCGCCGAGGAAAAAAGCGCACACGTCCGAGCGATGCCAAGCCTATACTCATCTACGGTTCCCTACTCGACACTACGCTGCTCTCATTGATCTACATGCTCCTTCTCCACTCCACTCTGCATTTCTCTACTCTCGCCTACCATATCCAACCCTACTCCACTCGAGTTTACTCTACCCTCCTCTACTCTACTCTACTCTACTCGACCATTTCCTCATAGCCGTGGCGCGGTCAAGCCAGCGGGCAGAACATATACTCTGCTCCACGGTGCCCGCCGCTCGGCGACGAAGGGGGCGCCGAGCAGCTACCATTCCTAGCGTTTCTTTTTGTTGTGCTACCACCGCGGCAGCGCGGGGGGGGCGAACGCACAGGTTCCAATCTAGTCGTAGCGTGGCACCGTCGGGTGGTGAAACTGAAGGGGCCCTGGGACACATCAATAAATAGACACAAATAGCACGATTCCCCACATGTTCCTGCATGTATCTTAGTTTTTGTCTTCCCCCCACTTCCCATATGTTCCCATATTTTCTGGGGGATCGACGATTCATTGTGTCTGTGTGTTTTTCCCCCTCCTGAAAAAACATGCAGGCCTGCGCTATTCTTCACGTGGCAATGCATGGGGTTGTGGTGGGTGGGGGGGGCGGGCGAACTATGATTCAACTTCGCTCGCCACGTGGCAACGCAGGCGGGGCTGACAAAAACACGAATCTACTTTGTTCGTCACGTGGCAGCACAGCGGGGCGAACAAAACGTAAGGCACTCTAGTCGCAACATAGCAACGTAAAGGGGCGACCCAAATACAAATATACGCTGCAAGTCACGTGGCAACACGAAGGGGCTGATAACATGCTAGTAAACTTGGCTCGTCACGTGGCAGTGCAAGCGGGGGGCGGACAACATACGATTCCTCTTTGCTCGCCACGTGGCAACGCTTGCGGGGGCTGAACAAAAACACAATATTCGACTTTGATCGTCACGTGGCAACGCATGAGGGGCAACACATATATACCTATACGCTATACGTCACGTGGTGACGCAAAAGAACTTAGAACATACTCTTCGGTTCTTATTTGTCACACGGCAACGCAAGGGAACGGAAACATCCGACACCACTATGGCTCGAAATATCCGTCACGTGGCAGCGCAGGGGGAAAAGGGGGGGAGGCAACAAACACAAGTCGAACTTACTCGGCAGGGAGCAACCCAGGAGGTCGAAAACGCATTCTCCCATCTCCTCGTCGCGTGGCAACGCGAAGGGGATGATATCATACCCTTAGACTCTATTCGTCACGTGGCAATGCATGGGGGTCAGAACAACAGACGATTCCACTCTGCTCGCCACGTGGCAATCCAGAGGGGCGAAACAAATGCACATCTCTTCCACCCGTCACATTGCAACGCAAAAGGGGAACGGAAAACATACTATTTGAGTTCATGCTGGAACCATTGCGAGTCCACTCTGCTCACCGCGTGGGAACGCAGAGAGAGCCGACACAAAAACGTATCCGTTTTAATCGTCAAGAGGCAACGCAAAAGAGACTTGGCAAAAACGCTTCTACTCTAATTCGTCACGCTGCAATGCACGGGGGCCAACAAATTACGATTCTACTCTGCTCTCCGCTTGGCAATGCAGAGGGGCGTAACGAACCTCTTCATCGCGGGGGGCCAACACATATCATCGCACAGCCGTCGTCACGTGGTGTCGCACCGGGGGGGGGGGGGTAACTCAAGAGAGGCAAACTCACACAATTTCACATTGATTTCCACACGGCGACGCAAACGTCGGTGCATGACGACTGGGGCCAGCGCCTCTGGGGCATGCTCCAGGAGACGGCGTGCCCACGCCCAGCGCTTGTCGTCCTGCGTTCAGGGCTTCGGGCTGAGAGCCAGCGTCTGCCAGCACATGTCGGCGCACGCCTCGCACGGATCGGAACGTCGGAGACTGGCAGAGGTCTTTGCTGATCCCAGACTGAAGACGTGTTCAAACCCATCACTTAAGTTTTTGAAGCACGGGGTAGATTCTTACAACGCTTACATTCAAACCTCTTACTGCTTGAGCTCAGGAGCTCAGGGCTCGAACTGGGGCCCTGCGCGCCGCAGCGCAGGGCCCAGACAGGCTGTGCTGTCCCGGGAAGGGGCGAGTCGGGCCGGGCGACAGAGGGGGGATAGCCAAGGGGGGTCTGAGAATCAGCTCACGTAACTGATTTTCCCGGCGCCTCCCGGCGCCGGAGGCGGCCACGTATCGAGGAATGGGCCCCTCGATGGGGCCGAAACCAGCTGCATGCAGCAGATTTCGTACCCCCCCCTTTCCCTATCCCCCCCTTTCGTCGGGCCCGAGTGAGAGGGGGGGGTCGGAACTTGGAGGCGGCCGGGGGGTCTGAGCTGGTCGGTACGGGGGGGATGGGGCCAAATCCGCTCAAGGTCGGCCCGCGGACCCCTCCCACGGTTGATCTTGTGAAGCTCTTCGCCCCAGAGCCGTTGTTGACGGCCCCAAGTCCCGAAAACATCCCCTTGAGGTCGGAGAAGGCAGAAACAATCTCGAGCCCAGAATCTCGAACCTGCCCTCCCTTCCTGCCCCCAGCCGGCTCCAAAGCGGGACTTTGGGGCGCATTGGGAAGCACAATTTTTGGACGCCCGAAATGAATACGGGAAAAATAAGCACAATGTCCAACAACAGCAACGCCAGCAGCAACAGCAACAGCAACAGTAACAGCATCAACAGTAACAACATCAACAACAACAAGGTTAAGGCCGGCATGGCCCCCCCGGGGTGCGGGAGCGGATCCGCCGGTTCCACCACCGTGGAGAAGGCCGGCACTGCCCCCCCGGTCAGTCCGAAGGGGGGGGGGGGCGAACAACACAACACAACATCCTAGGGCATCCTTAGGGAATCCTTAGGGAATCCCTAGGGAATCCTAGGGAATCCTTAGGGAATCCTTAGGGAGTCCTTAGGGAATCCTTAGGGAATCCTTAAAAATCATTTAAAATCCGTAGGGGGTCCTGAGGGAATCCTTCAGAATCCCGAGGGACTCCTGGAGGAATCCTTAGGGAATCCTTCAGAATCCCTAAGGACTCCTGAGGGAATCCTTCAGAATCCCGAGGGGCTCCGTAGGGAATCCTTAAGCATCCCTTGGGCATCCTTCAAGAATCCTTAAGAATCCATGCGAAGTCCTCCGGGAATCCTCAAGAATCCCTAAATAATCCTTCAGAACCCCTAGGGGATCCTTAAGACTCGCTGGGGAATCCCTAGGGACTCCTTAAGCATCTAAGGAATTCTTCAGAATCCTTAGGGAATCCCTCGGGGATCCTTCAGAATCCTCCAGAAATCCTGACGAATCCCTAAGGAATCCTTGAGATTCCCTAAGGAGTCCCTAGGGAATCCTTAAGAATCCTTAAGGAAGCCTTTGGGAATCCTGGCAGAATCCTTACGGAATCCTTAAGGAATCATCAAGAATCCCTGAGGGATCCTCCGGGAATCCTCCGGGAATCCTCCGGGAATCCTACAGAAT